TATATTTTATTAAAAATAAATATATAAGATAGAATAATAATAGAATAATAATAGTCGATTTCTAAACGAAAGATATTTAATAAATCGTTTATCTAATAATTATTTAAAAAAGGTTATAGATATTAATAATAGTTCTATTATATAATATCTATTTTAATATCTATTCTAAAGAGAGTATATTAAAAATATATAGTACTATACACTATAATTAGATATATTCTATCTTTTATTTCTAAGGGAATTACAATAGAAATAGATACTTAGAGATATATAAAAATATTTATTTTATATATTTAGTTTAATTCTTCGTGGTTAATTTATATTATTATTATAGAATTATCTTTAAATAATAAAACTAGTCTTAATTTATTTATACTTATTTAATTATTAAGTATACGTATTTAATAGGCCTAGCTCTTTAGACTTAAGTCTAATATTAATAATAATCTTATGTCGACTGCATTTCTATAACGACAGTAGTCTAGTATCGACAGTAGTTTTATATTAACTATATCCCTGTAACGACAGTAGTCTAGTGTCGACGAAAGTCCTAAGATAGCTTCTATCTTACCCAGACCGCAACTTAACTACAATGGAAGTCGAAGGCTGACTTCAGGTTAAGTAACCCTTGGAACGTGGTCCACTAACTGGTCTTAGACTTGACGACGAAGCCCCGGGCGTAACAATCCTAATCTAGTAAATTCTAATTTTTGAAATAAAGAATTATTTAATCTACTAGCTAATATTTAATATTAATATAGATTATTATATCTCTAGTCTTTAATAATTAACTAGATAAATACTAGTTTAACAGATAAACTTTAATTTAATAGATAATTTTCTATCTAACTATAACAAAAATAATTACTATTATAATTCTATAAAAGGGTAATATCCTTATTAAAAGATTTAAAAGTAGTTTATTATCTATTTTTAGAAATAAAAACTAGTATTATAATACAAGTTAAAATAGACCAACACCTGCCTACTTATAAAAGTATCCGACTGATCTATCATAAACACCGGTTGACACAACGACTGCCCAATATCATTTCCGGATATGCCGCCAAATAGGACCTGTCCAACTACTATCCACATTCGAGACTTTATTGATTGTGTTGAATCCGACCCGACATGCCCCAGTAAAAACCTTGCGTTGCAGTTACGCCTTTCCCTGAACATCCTAGATAGGGACGAACAATTTGACGATGTTACCCAAGCAGATATTCCGACTCTAATTCGATTCTTCAGCCAAACAACCCGATCTGAAATCTACCAGCCCAATGTGTTCATCTACGCCTGGGGTTCCTTCCTAACGGCCATGCACTGCCCAGAGGCCGCGCAACCGACCGTTATATTCCTTGGCACCGTCTGTGAGCGTGGAGGGTAGCTGAACAACAGGTCAACGCTATTTCATTACTGGCTTCAATCAACAGTTTACCATACCTCCAGTTGAACTCACCATACCTTCCCACTAACCGCCTGCTTCAATAATAGTCAGCGCTGGGTCAGCTTTCCATCGCTGTCCATTAACGCCCAGGTATTCATCACCGGCCGCATCTTCGGGCTCACAAAAGAAAACCAGCAACTGGCGAGTATGACAGAAGACGTACACTTTCTACCAGCACCACCTCAGCCTTTGCCCCCCACTCCTTCCTCAACCCTCGGCAAGAGAAAACGAACAGACCAGTGGACACAACGAGCTACCCTAGCACCCCATCCAAGTCCGCTCACCAACTTGACCATCATCCATCACCTCATCACAGCCACCCGGACGAAGCGATCGAATAGAACGAGATGATGATACGGAAACCCAGCTCACTTGGACAGAAACGGCCGATGAAGCAGACCATTTAACCCCAGCTCAACCTCCCCTACACCCGAGAGACGTTCTCAGAGAATGCGGAGAACTTCATATGCAGATATTCTTGCCCAATCAAAATAGTTAACTAGTTAACTAACCTCCTTCGACTGCTTTGTCATCACCCGCAATATTCACTTATCCATTCAATCCACTTCGATAGCCTCACGTCACTCTTTCTCCCTTGCCTTTTTATCGTTTCAGGGCCACAGCGCGCGCAGCGCGCGTCTTCCAGTTAAAATACACAGAAGACAGATATTCCATGACTTGCTAGTTACAGTTCAGCTGCGTTTCAAATAAGGTCTCAGAAAAGTAATCAGAAGTATAAACATTTGCACCAGTATTGCATCCAGCTGTATGGCAAGCCGGTGCCAAACTACCAACCGCAGTTCCACGAAGACCAGCCAGACTGACTCTCACACTCAGACTTGAATTCATCAGCCTGATCCTGAGTATCAAACTCGCAATACTCTTCAGCCTGCCTGATACAGTTGCACATATCGCCTCCAACATTATCACAGATTTCCTTGGTTCTCGTGTAGTCACCGCTGACTGGACCATCCTGATTTTTGCAGCGACTTGGCCAGCCACCTGTCCAACAGGCAGCATAGGTACAAGGAATAGAGGTCAGAAGAATGATAGTGAGTGCCTTCATGTTGACAGCTGGTGTAATATAATTATTACTTGAAGCTTCCAAGCTTTTGTATCTGAATCACAGGATTCAAAATGAATAGTGCTTCTTCCATTGCATGAAAAGGATTAGACTGGGATAAATGTGTCTCTTTATATCTTCCATTGAGTAATGTAAAGGTCTAGAGGGGAGGAGTCTAACTAATCTAATCCTTTGCAGTTGATAATAGTCATTATGACGTTCACAGAGCTATTACTATATGCGGCGACCATTACTATATACAGTAACTGCTAGTACGTCACCTATATATTCATAAATCTAGAACAGCCATGGCCTATACTGAGATGGCGTCATGGCAAGAGCCATGACAGAAAAAGAAAGTCTGGTAGAATGTAGGCCATTTTCACTTATTTTACATGCACATCATGTTATCTATTGAATTCTTTTCCTTCGACAGCTGCTTCCACAGGACCTCTACTCAAGAGTCGAGACATGCGTGGTGATGTAACCTGATATTAAACTTTTCTTTTACATTTCCTTTTGTGGGGCAGAGGCTTTGGGTTATCTAGTCAGTTCTCAGTCCTATCACTCCTATTATTTTGACTTTATTAGTGCACCATATATGATATCAAAGCTTAGCTGCAAACGGCTCTATAATTGAGATCAACCGACCTGCCGGTCCTACATGCTTATGACATAGCATGCCATGGACCATGGTCTGAGGATTTCAAGCAGCGCTGCTTGGCCTCAGGACAGGCTATTTCCCCAGTGTACGAAGTGAGGCGGCCGTTGGGCTTTCCCTAGTAATGGTGTCGTGCACGGAGTCCACGGGTCCAATACTGATTATGGGCGCCCAGAGTGCCCCCACAGTGCAGAGTCTATGTTTTATTTCCACATCTGCCTATCTACTCTGGAGTCTATGGTTCTATACTATCCCATACTATTGTGATATTGATAGGTATGTATGTGCTTTCGTTGACGTCTGTGGGATATGCAATAATATCTAGTGACCAATATTAATTATATATTTAGTAGTTAGACCTCTACATTCCTTGTATATTAGGTTAAAATATAAAAGGGAGTGAGAGTATCACAATAATTATACAGTAGATATAGGGTAGCTACTAGCCTACTGTTATGACACCAACACAGCCGCATTAGCGTGAGGCGGATGTGACAGGCAGAATTGCTGAACAATGACAACCAACCAAAACAGCCTAGTTCAGCGCCTTCGGCCCCTAAAGGTATATTCAATAAGTTAAAAAAAGTTAAGGCTATATAAAAATTTAAAATAAAGTAAGAAATATAATATTAAATTAATTTAACTAAGGTATTTATATAATTAAGTAAATAAAAAATTATTCTTTACTAGTAAAGGGTCTATACTCCTAAATTTAATCTATATCTTTATTATTAATAATATATCTTTTTCTTATACGATATAGTATCTTACTTAATATTAGAGATAATTCTATTGCAGTGTATTTATAAGACTTTTATATAATTATAGATAATTCTTCTAATAGTATATAGATATTGGATTGTATAGTACTACTATTTTATTAAAAAGTTAAAATAGATATTCTTTTTTTCTTAATCTTTTTCTTAATTTTTATCTTAATCTTCTTTTTCTTTTTAATTTTAATCTTCTCTTTTACAGATATAATCTCCTCGTCTAGAGTAATTATTTATTTTATAATTAAATAAAATATATACTTCTTTTCACTAATAGCTATACAAAATTTAAATTATTTTAAAAAAAGATTCTTAACTACTTACTGCGTGTCTATGATAAAATTTAAATATATTAGAAATTTTCTTTTTATACTAATTGCTAAATAATAGATAATATTACTTTATAGACTATATAATTATTATATACTTTCGCTTATATTATTTAAAAAATTTTAATAAATAAGATCCTATATTAAATCGATTGTACAAGTAGAGATTACGATTTTAATATACTCTATTATATAAGATATAAAGATTAATTATATCTATTAGCTTTAAAGTCTTTGTAATTTAGTTATTTTATATATCGATAGTTATAAAATAAAAAAAGATAATTATTTTAAAGAAAAATAATTAATATAATATTTAACTTTACCTTAATAATACTGTAGCTACTTATTAGTTAAATAATAAATAAAATTAAAATATACGAGAACTAAAGGGAGAAAGCCGCTGGAATATAAATAATATAGAATTTAAATAAGAAAAAGAAAATATTAAATTAATAACTTTAAAAAATATCGTATCACAGTACTTAAAAAGCTTTAATAAAGAAGATATTATAATACTTATATAAAAAGATTAAGTAAATTAAAAAATAATCTTATTCTTATATTAAAAAAAGCTTTACTTAAATCCTTTTTATATAAAGAAATCTATTTTATCTCTATATAATACTATCCTATCTTAGAATTTAAATCTTAGTTTATAGTTGGCCGGGATAATATATTAAAAAAAGGTTTAATAAAAAGATCTATATAAAAATTCATAATATCTCTTAGCTTTAAATAAATTATATAAAAAACAACTATTTTATTCTTTAACTAAAGTAGCGGTAAACTTTTAGAGTTAAAGCTAATTTCTAATAATACTATATAGCAGAACTGAAAAGTTTCTACTAGTAAATATTTATTAATATCTATATTAATTAATATTTACACTAGACAATAAAATTTAGTAATTATTTATTAAATCTTTGTACAAATCACAGCTCTATATCTAAAACTTTTTATTAAATAAAAAGTCTATAGTCTTATATATTTTTTAAATAATAATAAACAATATATAATTTTCTAGTAATAGAATTTAGCTGTTGTATTATTTCTAGATTTAATAAATATTTTAAAGTTCTATAGAACTGTAGATCTCTGTATAAATTATAGATATATAAATATTTAATAAAATAATCTAATTAATAATATAGCTTTTGCTAAATAGATCTTTATTTTTTAATATACAAAAGTATATTTATTTAATTAAAAATTAATACTATATAAAAGTAGAATAATTTATCTATTATTTATAAAGTATATTTTTTAAGAATTATTTTTACTAAGTTTTAATTCTTTAATTCTTAGTATTTCGTCCTTTTATTTAATAATTAATTTATTAGATAAAAAAATTGTATACCTACTAAAGTTATATAAAGATATCTTAAAAATAATCTCTTTTTAAATTATAATTAAATTTAATCTTTTGTAGTTGCAGCTATACAGTTTTAATATTTAAAAATTAATTTAAAATACTTAGAGTTATATAGGTAGTAATACTATAATAAATCTAGATAATATAATAAAAATAGATATCTATTTTTATATATATTTTAATTTTATATAGCTTAAGCTTTATATAACTATCTACTAATTAAAGAAAATTTAATCTAAATATAATATATTCTCCTCGTTAGTACTATAACTGATAATAATAGGTAAAAATTTAATTAAAAAATATTATATAATAAGCTTAAAAAAGATAAGCTTTTAATACAATTAGTATAATATATAAAAAAAGAAAAAAGTTAAATTTTACTAAGTAATAATATACTTTTTTATATGTATATACTAATAAAATAATCCTCTACTAAATTTTTAAATTATATTTTTTTTTAAATTTTTTAATAAAAGTTTATAAAATAGTTTTAGTTTAATACTATCTTTTAAAAGAAGAATTAGTGCAGTATATAAGTTTAAGATTTTTATATATACACCTGAGTATATAAAGTAATAAAGTTACTTCTTTTTAATATAAAATATAAAAAATATTTTCATTTTTTAAGATTAACCTAGAAAAAAAGTATTTTTATTTATATTTATATATTAGTATTAATATTAATTATATAATCCTAATATAATAAATCCTATTTTTAAAGATATAATTTAAATATATATTTACTAAGTTAAAAATTAAATAACTTTTTTAAATAATTTTAAATTATAGCTATTAATTTATTTCTTTAGTATAAAGCTATAATCTTAGTCTTATATAATTTAAAATTAATAGTTAAACGAGATATAGTTATATACAATAATTATATATAAGAATTAAAAAAATAATTAGCTAATTAAAGTAATCTAATAAAGAAAGTGGTTGAGAAAGCGGTAAATGGACTTAGTAGAGGGAAGTGTTGTTGCGGAGTGGCCGCTATGATCCTCCGTACGCGGGCGCGGATGCGGGATGCACCCTACATCCCCGACGTACTAGGGTATAGAGCGCATCTTCATGTCCCTTGATACATCAGTGGTGTATTTTATTCCTCGTCTTTGTACTCTGATCAGCAAGCACCGTTTTCAAGCAGAACCTTAAGCACCTCCGTGTGTCTATGACGAGAAGCAAGTTCTGGAAGTGTGTTGCCATCCCAATATTTGCACCCCGCATCAGCACCGTTTTCAAGCAGAAGCTGAACTATATCTGCATACCCCCATCTAACAGCAGACATCAACGGTGTAACACCGATACTTGATTTGTACTCGAAATCGGCACCCTTTTCAAGTAGCATCCTAACCACACCTTCATGTCCATTTATAACCGCACATCCAAGTGGTGTTTGACCGTCACAATCTCTAGATTCTATGTCAGAACCTTTCTCAAGCAACAATCCAACCACATCTTCATGTCCCTCCATAGCAGCACATCCAAGAGGTGTCCGGCTATTACCATCTCTCGATTCTATATGAGCTCCTCTCTCAAGTAACAGTCTGACCACACCTTCATATCCATTTTCAGCAGCTGTTCCAATGGCTGTCCAGCTACCTTCACATAATATATCACAGCCTTTCTCAAGCAGTAGCACCATAATATCCTGATATTCTGCGTTAAAGGCATGTCTTAGTGCTGTTCGGCCCTGACGATCCTTAGATTCTAGGTCACAGCCTTTTTCAATAAGCAGCTTAGCGATATGCCTATGGCCGTGTAAAGCAGCCAGTATCAACGGAGTTTCCCAATCCCCAGCTTTGCACTCAAGATCGGCACCTTTGTCAAGTAGTGCCTCCACAGACGATTTATATCCTATTTCTGTATACCACAGTAAAGATGAACTTCCAGAAAACTTGATGTTATATGCATATAGAGGGCCCATCTGTTGGATGCCGTAGATTCGGGAGTTTGTTAATAGAAAAGACAGGATGTCCTTCTCGTTGTCTAAACTTTCAATGATGAGAAGGAGTAACTCATCTGGAAGATCGAGGAGAGGCATTGCAACAGAAAGTGTAAGAGGAAAGCTTTTCAACGTTGGTGGATAAAAGTGTTCACTTCATGGATTAGAAGATAAGGCTAGGTGCAAGGTGGGGAGGAAAGAGTTTTCCCTCGGATCAGATCTTCAATCTCCAGTCTAGCTGGGAGCCCTAAGCCAGAGACGGAGAGATCGTCGCCTTGCAGGGATGTGTGGGGCCGTGGGGAAAGTAAGGCAGATGAGGCGCTTAGGCGGCAACAAGAAATAAAGAATTAGTACATGAGTGCAAATAAGGCAAACTAGTCAGAAGTACCGACCAGGATGGCAGATCACACAAGTAATGTCCACTGGCTGTGATGTCCTTGTCAACCTAGGATTTTACCACGCCATGTATACATCCATCATCTCCCAGCACATTCTACTCTTTCCAGCAGACTTTATCCTTCAAATACTCCCTTTGGACTGCATAAGATCGGCCCACGAATGCAGAGGCCATTCAAATATCTGGAGATACATACCTGAAAACCTTTCTATTACTGCCGTTCTCGGACCCTTGACACCAATCCCGCTTTTCATATACCAATTTCTAGTCCCATACTAACGTTGCGCTCAAACCACTACACAATACATTATTGGGCAATTTGTGCCCGTAAATCCTATCTGATCATCTGATAGGGGACGTAAAGGCAAGCCTGAAGCACTTCTTGCTGTGCCGCTCTTGGCTACTGAACTGAGACTGCATTTCGCTGTAAATCACTTACATATGTGACCTTCGCCTGTTTGTCCCCTCTTTTACCCATACCACGTAAACCACATCACCGTGTTTTCCTGGCTTTCAGCCATGCGCGGTGTTCCCTCCGATGGCATAGCAAAGGCTGTCGTGCGAACCAGATTGAACCCGTTCCCAGTATTGGGGAGAATACGGAACGGAATGCGGGGGTCGATCGCATCGTGCAAGAAATATTTACTATAGTGCGGAATTTGCTATGAAGAGATAACCCGGTACTGCGCGCCTTGTATTCACACACTCTGATTGTGTTATAGAGATGATTTGTTCCTTGGTAGGTAGATAATCTAGTTCACACTTTTATAATTTGCAAAATATAGCCTCTATTGATATTTGGATCAGGTCGCTTTTGCGATATATTTACTTACAGTAGTAATAGTATTTATATATTGACTCTTTATAACGAAGTAATACGTAGATAACTACTATTCTATATATATAATTATAATTTTACTATAATATTTTAAACTTCGTAAGGGTGAACTTTGAGCTTTATTTAAAAGATATATAATTAATTCTATTTTAACCTGTGAAAAGATTAAAATACTCTACTATTCTATATTATAGTATCTCTTTATAGAGACGCTGAGATAGTAAATATAGTATTAATAATAGAAATCGAATCTATAATCTTAAAAAGAGGAGCTAGCCCTGGGACTATCTTATAATTTCTAAATAAATTCTATTTACTAAATTTAGGTCTTTATCTATATTAACTTATTACTAAGCTAGCTGGTTACTAATAAGATTTAGTATTTTTAGTCTATTCTATATTACCTTACAACGGTGAATTACCATGTTTAAAAATTATTAATAAATAAGAATCTTTATTCCACTTTTGATAATAGTGTTAATACACTCGCCATTGAATAGATATAAACTAGTTGTATTTTCTCACCTTGGACCCAGAGTCTGCATATCCTATATAGTAAATTTAGATATAGAAGGGACTCCTACGCTTAACCAATCCTAACAGATTGGAAATGTGTACGACCTTCCACGACCAATTTATATACCTGTTACGCCCGGGGCTTCGTCGTCAAGTCTGAGACCAGTTAGCGGACCACGTTTTGAGGGTTATTAACCTAAAGTCGGCCTTCGACTTCCGTCGCTATTAGATTGCGGGTTTAGTAAAATAAAAGTCGATATAAGACTACTGTTAACACAAGACTACCGTTAATATTAGACTACTGTTATTATAGGGATACAGTTAATATAAGACTACTATTAATACTAGACTACTATCGTTATAGAAATATAGTCGATATAAGATTACTATTAATACTAAATTCAAATCCAAAGAGCTAGACCTACTAAATATATATACTTAATAGTTAAAAAATATAAATAAGTTAAGATTAATTATATTATTAAAAATAATTTTATAATAATAATATAGATTAATTACAAAGAACTAAACTAAGTATATAAATAAGTATTTTTATATATCCTTATCTATTATATTACTGCTACGACTTTTTATATTAGTAATATAATATATTTTATTAGTACTATAAGCTTATCGTGTCGCTGATATATTTAATTATATTACTACTATAATATATATAACTTTGTTATAGTAATTAGTATTGATATTTATAGCCTTTTTTAAATAATTATTAAATAAACGATTTATTAAATTTCTTTTACTTAAAAATCGGTTATTATTATTCTATTGTTATTTTATTTTATATATCTATTTTTAATAAAATATATTAAATAAAGATTTATAATATTATTTCTTTTCTTTTAAATTTTTATCCTCGAAAGTATAAAATTACGGATTTATTTAAATAAAAGATATCTATTCTTAATTTTTTCTTTTATCTATATTTTAATAATACCTTTTAATTTTATCTATAAATCTAAGCTTTACCAATAAATCGAAGACAAGAGTTTTTAAATAATATTTCCTTATAAATATTATATCCGCTTCTATTATTTTTATATTAAATTCAAAAACTTTAGTTATTATAGCGAGTATATAAAAATAAACAGTATTTTTTATAAAATACCTAAGTTTTCTTTTTTCAACGCTAAATAGAAATAACTTGTAAAAACTCAAAATACTATTAAAAAGAAGAAAAAAATTATTTTAACAAAGCTCCTTTATTTATAAAAATAAAAACAGTTATTATAAAAATATATAAATAATTTTATTACGTATAATATTAAAAAAATCGAGAAATTTAAAAAACTTAAGTATTAAAAGTAAAAAAAATATAAGATATAAAAAAAGTTATACTATTAGAAAACTACAATTTCTTATTTCGGGGTTAATATATTTTTAAATAATAATATTTAATTAATTGCAATTTCTAGATTAAATTCTAGTTTAATTTAATTAATAGATAACCTTTTCTTTTAAATAAATTTTAATTCTTTTATTAGTAATACTATTAAACTAATTAATAGTAATTTATTAAATTCTTAATAAGTTTCTATAAATTTTTTAAAATACTATAATCTTTTTATTTTACTAGATAATATAGTTTTTTATTAACTCGCTTATAATTTAGTATTTATTTAACTTTATATTTTATTTTTTTTTTATTAAATTTGATATTTTCAGCGATTTTAATATTCTTTAGTATAAGTTTTAATAATAAAATATAAAATACTAAATATATTCTTTTTATTAAATTTAATAGTTTTAGCTAATAATTAATATTATTAATTTATTTTTTAATTTTAAATAGTCTAATTTTTTAATAATTAAATTTTAAATTTAATTACTTTATTTTAATATTTCTACGGAGTAGAAATACTTTTTTTCTTTTTTTAAAAATAGATCTCTTTTTATAATATTAATTATAATAAGTTACTGCGCGATAGTTAAAGAATTTAATATTTAAAGATAGTTAATTTTATAAATTCTTTAAATTTTTAACTATTCTATTAACTTTTTCTATAATAGAGAATTTATTTTTTAATTTTTTAATTAACTTAGTATAGTATTTGTAATTTGTATAAAAGGATATTATTTTTATTATTAAATATTCTACGTTATTATATATAAACTATACTATTAGTAATAGATTTATTTAATTATTTTATTAATAATTGATATAGTATTATAAATATTATTTAATTATTTAATTTATTTTTTCTATTTAACTATTTTCTTATAGGTGATATGCCGTAGTTAACTTCTAATTTATTTTTATTAAATTTATAAGTAATTGTTAAAATTTTAATATAAATAGTTTATTTTAATTTAATATAATTTTTTTTACTATTTTATAGTAAATAAAAATATATTTAAATAGTATATACGCGAGTTATATCGTATCGAGTATTAATTTACTTAGTATTAAATAAATATATTTAATAAATTAATCTATTATTATTATTATTATATTATATTTTTTTAATTTAAATAATAGTTTTATAAAATCGATTGTAATCTATTTTTAAGATTTCAAAGATATATTTAGTAATTATATAAATTTATATAGTTTATATTTCGCTAGTTTATCTTCAATATATATTTTATATTTTTTAATATATTTTTTAATTTATTTTATTATATTCGGGAAATAGTAATTTTTCGCGATTTATTTTAATATTTTTTTAATTTCAAAATGTTTTTGTGTTAAATTATTATAATATTTTTAAATAATTATATACTATAGTTTTTAAAAAATCTATATAAGATTTTAATAATATACAATTTTATCTTTATCTTTAGTAAATAGATTATTACTTGTTTTAAATTTTTAAATAAGTAATTTGTCTTTCTCAGTTATCTTTGTAATAAGATATTAGATAGGATTTTTAATTTCTATAGTTATTACTACAAGTATTTAGTAATTATATTTAATTAATCTATTTTTATATTATTTTAATATTATAGGTTCGATTGTTTTTTTTTAATTTTATAATTAAATTTTTAATTTAAGGTATTGGTTTAGCCGTTTTCTAATTTTTTATAATATTCGATTTTGAAATTATACTGCGATAGTATTTTAGTCTATTTTATTTATTATTATATAAACTTTTTTGTAGTTATAAAATATATTAAGTTTTTGTAGTTTAATTTTATAATAATTTAGTATTGTATTTTCTTTAGATAGACTCTTTATTTTTTAAATATTAATATTATAGTTAATAATTTCTTATTATAAATATTATAATTTAATTTAGTTTAAATTAGTTTCCTAGATTTAAATACTATTAGTTATAGCTTTTTATCTAGTTTCATTTATATTATTTATATATTAATTATATAGTTAGATACGTTGATTTTGATAAAGATTTATTTAATTAAATTATACTACGCTAAGATTAGTATAGTAATAATTATT